TGCAACTTGAGACCATTGTTCCTCATTCTTTCTTATGTCACCCTGAGAACAGCCTCTCTCTATCCTGTTTGGAATCCCTCTTCAGACAGTTGAAGGATGCTGTATGGTAGTATTGCTCGTTCCGAGGGTGTTAACAGTTGGTCTAAAAGTTTTTCCTTATGTTTGACTTTCAAGCTGATATTTTTCTTAACTGAAACAAAATTGTAATAAAAATTCTTTGCAGTAGCTTTGGTCTTGGCTTCCTGAGAGTGCATTTTCTTTAAAACATAATGAAAAACCAACTGTGCATGGAAACTGCTCTCTGAGAGACACTTACAACTCTACCAATTCCCCATTCACCAATCACTGCACATTATCTTAAAAATGTAATATTTTTATTGTCTTTGAAGCATGCCTCCGAGGAAATGAGTTCTCATCTTCCACTTTTTTTGGAGTGTTTATTTTGAACAGCAGGTGTCTCCTCTTTGGTGCCAGTAGTGATTCTGATGTCTGCTAATACACTGTCTAAAAGGTATTTAAGTTGCATCTCTTTGGAGTATCACGCTTAGACTAGATTATTTGCTATGGAGGGAATAAAAATCCAAAGCTGATTGTCTTGAGCCTTAAGCCCCAGGTGTGGGGATATATGTGGAGTGTCTTAGAGCTCTACTAGTTTTTGAAAAATTCCTATTATGCAATTTGATGTGGGTCTTTGTGCACAACTAAAAGACAGAGGCTCAGATATTCAGAGTGGTTCACAGTAGAAGTTCTGGCCTAGAATACTTTTCCCTCTTCCTGAATAGCCTAGATTTTTCTCAGAAAACTATCAAACTATATCAAATTCTAGTAATCGAGGTCAGAATCTGTCTACAAGGATTTGATAAAGACTTGAAAATCTCCCTGCTCCCAGGAGAGAAGTTTGAAAACATATGATTAAGAAACTCTGGACGAGACTGTCCAAATTACATAGAAAGCTTAAAATCTAAATTACTAAGGCTATGTCTACACTACTGAGCTTAACTGTGCTGTGTCCAGGGAACTCATCTGCTTTTTCAGAACAGTTTCCGAAAAAGCGGGCATGTTCTTTTGGAAGCTCTGTATTCCTCATTTTATGAGGAATAAGGGATCTTCCGAAAGAGGAGGTTTTCTCCACATTTGACCTCATGTAGAGAAGCCAATTGTCGGAAAAGCCTTTCTGGAAAAAAAAAGCAGAAAAAGGTATGCAAATTGTGGTCCACATTTTGCATATCTTTTCCCAGAAAAAGAATGCAGCGTAGACATAGCCTAACATCTCAAAACACAAACATTTAAAAGGGAGCCAATCCCCTCCTTCAACCCTCATCAGGTTTCCATAACTGTAAGAAGCAGTTGCTGATAATAACCCTTACTTAGTCTCCAGATCTATATTTCCAAAAGCTAAAAAGCATTATAAAGCTGGAACCTGTTACACTGTTGTCTACATTTGTGGGTGTAGAGGTAGTGAAAACTGCCACTTGTGCAGGAGAGAATAGTGACACTTTTCTCATATGCCTCTCATAAACATAGTATCTGGATGTTTCTGCTAAAATGATCAGAAGTGAAACAGTTACCTGGTAAATATTGAAAATGTGTCATTTGGCTTCACTGCATGTGTAAGAGAGGGCAATATTGAAGCGGATACTCTTTCCTGCTCTGCTAATAAGCTTTGTGCACATGAGGATTATGCATGACAGGTATAAATATATGCTGTGTCTAGACTGGCAAGTTTTTCTGCAAAAGCAGCTGATTTTGCAGAAAAACTTACCAGCTGTCTATACTGGCTGCTTGAATTTCCGCAAGAACACTGATGATCTCATGTAAGAAATCAGTGCTTCTTGCGGAAATGCTATGCTGCTCCCATTTGGGCAAAAGTCCTTTTGCGCAAAAGGGCCAGTGTAGACAGCTCAGATTTGTTTTGTGCAAAAAAGCCCCAATCGCGAAAATGGTGATTGGGGCTTTTTTGCGCAAAAGCACGTGTAGATTGGCACGGACACTTTTCTGCAAAAAGTGCTTTTGCAGAAAAGCATCCGTGCCAATCTAGACGCTCTTTTCCGCAAATGCTTTTAACAGAAAACTTTTCCTTTAAAAGCATTTGCGGAAAATCATGCCTGTATAGACGTAGCCATAGTGTTTGATTGTACCAGGCTAGTTGCTCTGGTGTAGCAACACTTGTGGCTGAAAATCCAGGGTAGATAAAACAATTATGAAGTTGCCAGTGTACCACCAGTACCATGTACCCCCAAATATATTAATGGCTTTACCCAGACCCTGGGCTATGGATAAACAAACTCTCCTTTTAAACTAGCATCGTTGCTAACTGTGACTTGGAGGTCCTTGCTAAACAGTTTTTGAATTATGTTGGCTGATTACTTATGGTCATAGCCAGGCTTCTATGTATATGAAATTAAATTTCTGGCTGTCAAACCTGTTTTTTATAATCCAGCAAAAGAACCTCCTGCAGTGGATGTTTCAAGGGGACCTTCCTAGAATGGAACTATCATAAATCAAAACACTAATCCTAAGTGGCTTGCAGTGATGTTGTTCTTTTAGACAAAATGTTTTGCTAATTATCAGAAAAATTGGTGTTAGATTGAAATATTTGCTGTGTATTTGATTTCACTACAATAAAAATATTCAGTCTCCCTCCAAAGATGATTATAATTAACATTTTCATGCTCCAGTATCTGGATATGAAATGTTAACAAAAGCAGATTTTGTTTCATGGCAGAAATGCCTTTTAAAAAGCATAAAGGAAAAAACACTACCTTGTGTCTTGATTGCTGACTTCATATTTCACTAGATGAAAATGAAAAGCTAAATGAAATATTCACAGGAGAACAATCTGCCTGGGAAAGATTTGGATTTCAGTGGTATGATGATCCAGATTGCAAAATTGCTTCATGCAGTCTCTTGTAAATGTATGTTGCAGATTTGTGATATGTTGCAAATTTGTGCAGATTTATGTTGCATGTATGTGTGAACCAGAATAAAAAAATGTTTGTTTTACTTCCTACTCTGCAAATATTTGTGAGAGATCCAGGTATACTGACCATCCAAGCAACGTTCATGTGTGCTCACTTTGCAGAGGTGAAAGTAGGTTAGTGCGTAAGAAAGTGGCTGGCTGGGGACAGGGCCTTAGCCCTGTCCCTTCCCACCCCACCCCTACTCAAAGTTGAGGACAACAGCCAGGAAACTCCTGAGCACATGGGGCTGGTGGCACATAGGAAAGCCCTGGCATGTGTGGGACTGGAGGAAAGTAGGCAGCTGGGACTCTGAGGGAAGGCAGGACTGGTGGAGCAGATAGCTAGGACTCCATGTGATGGGCCAGGTTCCTGGAGTGTGCTGCAGCATCCCACCCACCCTTAACTCCCTTCCCATGCCTAATAATACTGACCCCATAGCCCTCATTTCCCTGGGAATGGGAGCAGTGCAGGGCAGGCTCATCAACCTGTACTACCCCAGCCCTGAGCCTTTCACCCGCACTCCACCCTAACCCATCCACTCCAGCCCCCTGCTTTGAGCCTTCCATACACACCTCCAGCCCCCTACCCTGAGCCCATCCCACACCCCGCTCCCTGCCCTGACTCCTGCAACCCCACACACCTCAACCCTCTGCCCTAAGCTCCTCATAAACCCCAACCTTGACTCCTGCATCACCAGCCCATCTCCCGCCCTGACTCCTGCAACCCCACACACCTCAACCCTCTGCCCTAAGCTCCTCATAAACCCCAACCTTGACTCCTGCATCACCAGCCCATCTCCCGCCCTGACTCCTGCAACCCCACACACCTCAACCCTCTGCCCTAAGCTCCTCATAAACCCCAACCTTGACTCCTGCATCACCAGCCCATCTCCCGCCCTGACTCCTGCAACCCCACACACCTCAACCCTCTGCCCTAAGCTCCTCATAAACCCCAACCTTGACTCCTGCATCACCAGCCCATCTCCCGCCCTGACTCCTGCAACCCCACACACCTCAACCCTCTGCCCTAAGCTCCTCATAAACCCCAACCTTGACTCCTGCATCACCAGCCCATCTCCCGCCCTGACTCCTGCACCTCCCCACACTCCAACCCAACTCTGAGCTCCCTGCACGCCACCCCCCACTTAAATTTCTGACAGGTGAGGTCATATCACAACTCCCTCGCCTCCTGCCTCCCCCGGGCAGCGTCTGTGTATGAAACGTAAGTTACTTCCACCCCTGATGCTTTTGCTTATACACCACACTCCAGCCGTCACCCCCCTGCGGGCCATCCCCCCGGGCAGCAAACAGCCCCTCGTGTTCTTCCCAGCTAGGGCTGGCTGCTCGTCCAGAGCCCGCGCCACAGGAAACACGGATCCCAAATCCTGCTGTCCCCACTAAGGCCTCATACACCGCCCTTGAGGGCAATGGGAGATGTAGCTAAGCAGGACCCCCCAGCGTGCCCGAGGGGCGGCGGGGGGGGGGGGCCCGCT